TAAATTGGATCTGCCTGTCCATAGATGCATATTTACATGCCTGTCCATCAAGATGCACACGTACACCCGTATGCACGTATGTACACACACACACACACACACACACACACACACACACACACACACACACACAGGCGCTTAAGAATGAGAAAAAGAGTTTGAGGAATTGCAATACTTGTGGTTATTTTTTAAAAAATGCATTTGCATTGCCTTCTCTAGAGACCAAAAAAAGAGGCAGTGTGGTTCACCAGGCATAGGAACCATAAAACAGACACTTAATGCCTAAGAATCTAGTCTCAGGAGCTTGGCAGGAAGTTCCCGCCAGGGCAGCTTATAGCAAACCCACCTCCTGGCCCTTCCTGCAATAAAAAGGCAAATAATGTTGCTTCCTGGCCTGGAAGAAGCTTTCCTCTGCAACCCATAAAAATGTCACATTTGCAAGAGCTACTGCCTGTTACATTTTGCAATGATGGGCCTGCTTGGGGGGACAAGGACATACGTATTTGGCACAGATAAGTTGTTCGGCATAATAACCATTGTTGAAGGGAGGCTCACAGACGGGGCCCTTCCCTTAAAAAAACCCAAGTTCAGTCTTTTGAATCTCAGGTTGGGAGAAATAAAGACCACGGCTTTTGATCTGAATGAGTAATTGTCAATCGGAGAAGGCTGAACTGAGCAAGGCAGACAACTTGGGCTCCTGCACGCTGAACGGGTGGGGTAAGGGAGACGCATGCCATCAGATCAACAAAACCCTTCTGAATCTCTGATTAATGAAAAAGAGGCAGCAAAAAGGCTTGGCTAAGCGCAGAGGGCAGAGATTCCAAAATCAGCATCATAAGAAAAGCCCGGAAGGTTCAAGTGTTGGGAGTAGCTGGCAAATCTTGCTTGGGTTTGGAAGCTAAGCAGATTCAGACCTGGTTTTTATTTGAAGGAGGACTACAGGGAATCCCATGCTACAATTCGGACTAAAGAAACATTTCGGAAGAAAAGAATGGCAAACCACTTCTAGACAATTATATGGAGCTGTTGGAGAAGTCAAAAGACAAGCTTGAAGTAAGAAAAAGTTGACCCAATATCAAAGTAGAGAACTTCAGGAGTCTGGGGAGGGTGGGGTAAGCAGGTCTATTAAATTACAGAGAACTTCATCTTATCCTGATCAACCATCACACAACTGTTCTGCAGTTCAAACCGAGAGGCAGATATTGACTGTACATATTTGCAGTCTTCTCTGTCAATATTCTAATCTGGTTGGGAATTCATAAGAATTGTCCTTCAATAATTGTCCTTCAGGAGAACTTCAGCTTTGGAAAGACTGTTTCTCCACAGGGAAAAAAATGCAGTGTTGGCTGGGCAGATGCATCCAACAGTGGAGGAACAATTAACACTTCACTCTCTTGTTTACCGGTCTGATCAGAACAAATCACTTATACAACAATTGACAATAACTTCAGCTGAGGGGTGGAAATACCAGCACCACAATTGGCTTCAAAGCAACAAATAATCCTAGCCAAATCCCTTGTATGTGGAAAATACGCTATCCACAGAGACTCGTTGGAGTATGTTTCTCTGCCCAGATCATTTGCTACACACCCATGCATGGGTGTGACTCTGCAGTGTGTGAGTGCACACACACACAGGCGCCAAACATTGGTGATGATCCATGTCTTGGTCTGCGTCCTGTGCAAATGTTTCCAGCTAGGAAGTTGTATTGCATCTGGGCCAGTTTTGCTGGCAAAGCTCCCATAGAAAAATCTTCCCATCAGACCTCAGGGCATTGACCTCAAAATATCTTGCTAATGCTCTGGAAGTGCCTGCAACAGGCCGTAGAGTTACAGGCTTAGTGCTGGTTGGAGCATCACATACTGCAACTGACTTCTTTCAACCAGAGGACTCTAGCGAGAAGCTCTGAGGAACTAACTACACAACCTGGCCCAGCCTGGGAAAGGAACTGTAGCTTGAGCTCTTGGGAGAAAGGATAAGGCCTGGGGGATGGCATCAAGGACTGGACCAGGTCCAGAACATAATACCAAAAAAGGACCGCTTGCCCAGGATGACCAGGTTCTTTCTGATCAGCCAAGGAGAGAAGGGAGTGCAGCCAGCAAGGAAGCCGTTGGCTTCTTTGAAGCTCGTTGCAAACATGACTCAATGGGAACTTTTCTTGTGGCAAAAAGGAGCCTTGGGAAAGGCACAAAAGAAATATTTCAGACAAAATTGGACATCTGTCCCTTAGGCACATACAAGAATCTGGCAGGGATGCGTTGCTGCCATTCATAGCAACATCTTTGAGACGACTGGAGTTAGCCAAGGAAGTGATGAACACAGATGGATTCCCCCCCCCCGATATAGGTTTCTTTCTCTTTCTTTCTTTCTTTCTTTCTTTCTTTCTTTCTTTCTTTCTTTCTTTCTTTCTTTCTTTCTTTCTTTCTTTCTTTCTTTCTTTCTTTCCTTCCTTCCTTCCTTCCTTCTTCCCTTTCTTTCTTTCTTTCTTTCTTTCTTTCTTTCTTTCTTTCTTTCTTTCTTTCTTTCTTTCTTTCTTTCTTTCTTTCTTTCTTTCTTTCTCAGGACACACGAAGAAAGACACCAGCCACTCCCATCTCCCCAAAGAGTAAATCAGGAGGTGGAGGAGACTGCATATATACAGCACCAATGTCAAGATCCTGTAGGAATCTGCTTCCCCTCCCCCCTTGATCTTTCTTCTTGAGCAACAGCCCCTAGAATCATTCAGAGCACAGTGGTAGATCAGACCTATTCAACCTACTGTGCTTGAGACAATGCTACTATTACATGTAGGAATGTCTGCCCACTGACCAAAAGGGGTTGTTCAGGACAGGGACTCCCTCAAGGTGGAGAAACCCTCAGCACTGGGCAAACCATAATGAGCAGAAGGAATCAGCCTGGATCTAGATCTCCTGGACCACAATTGTTATCATTCCCAGCTAACACCCCATTTTGCAGTAGATGAACATCTGTGCTTTCCCTCCCGCCACTTCATTCTGTACAGTAAAGTCTGAGGTGAGGATTTGTGACTGGTTTTCCCAGCTCATCTTAACCTCACTGTCTGGTTTCCAAATTTTGCTGGCTCATTTTAAACTATAGGCATAATGATTGTATTAGTAGGGTGTGACCTGAAGATCATCACTGCAGATTAGTTACGGCTTTAAAAACAATGCTCAAAACTTAATTCTTTTCTTCACAAAACCCATTCTTCCCCCCCCCCCCACACCATTCTAGAATGTTGAGAGCGTTTTTTAAAAAAAATCTTTCAGCCACACTTTGCAATATGTCTCTTTGTCAGCAGAGCAGAGGAACAAGGCTGCCAGTCTGCTGATTAATATAAGTGCTGAGCCTGCACCTCCAGAAGTTTTCAGCCCTTTTATGTGTATAATAAGGCCCTAATAAATTAAGAGACTCACCAGCTAGCAATTATGCACAAGTCTCTTGGAGAGTTAATCCTGAAGAAGTTCTATTAAATCTACTTAATCTCTTCTCTGTGATAATCGTGTGTGTGTGTGTGTGTGTGTGTGTGTGTGTGTGTGTATAGCGCACTTATCAACCACCCAACCCATTTGCCCAGTATCAGCTTTTCAATCTGGAAATGCGAGATCTGGGTGTAATACACACACACACTGTCCCTTTGCTGGCAGATACCAGCTGACTTTCATAAGTGTGTAAAAACCACGTGCCAAGGCAGAACTAGCCATTCAGGACCTGGTAGACTTTCACCAGCATCCTTTCTTTCTTGCAGGCCACCCCAAAAAAGGAGATGGGGAGCCCACAGCCAATCCTCAACCTACCACTGGCATCTTAGCTTAAAGAGGAAGGAGGGCCCCCGTGGATTTCTGCCAGACCCCTTCAGCTTTGTTGGCTTATACAAAGAGAAGAGACAAGTTGGCTGTTCCGTTCAGGATGAGGCTTCTTGTTCAACACATCCCAAGGAGAGGAAGGAGAACCTGGAATAGGATTGCCCCCCCCCCCCAAATCTGATCTGCAGCAGTTCCCTTGCCGGATTCCCCCCCCTCCCTGATGCTGTACGTGAGGAGGGGGGAGCTTCCGGCTGGCTATTTGCCAAAACCCTTTGACCAAACACACACCTGGTGGAGCTGAGGTCAGAGCCCCCCCCTTTCTTTTACCACTCCCTTCGAGGCTAAATAGCAACTTTTTTTTTATAGACCGGCCCCCACAAAGGGGGGCGGGTTCTCTCCCCCCAGTCCGGCTCTCCCCGCCCAAACCCGATCCCCCTTCTTTCTCTTCCACACCCCCCACCCCACCCCTGGAAACAAGAGCGGCGGGGCTGAGCTCCGATTACAGGAAATGCTTGGTTCCGAGCCTGTTGGGGGCGAGGACGAGTAGAGAGGGAAAGGGGGGGGGAAACGCGCACGGAAAATCCGCCAGGTTCCCCCCTGCGGGAAAGTTGGACCGCGGCGCGCGTCCCCCCTCCCGTGGAAAAAGCGGCCGCCGCTCAAGCCAAGGGGTGTGTGTGTGGGGGGGGGGAAGCGTGCGGGGTGGAGACCCCACTAACGGGAGCGAGTTGGAGGAAGCGCGCTCAACAGGCGCGGACGGTGGGTCTGCAATCACTTAGTGGGGCTAGCGAGAGGGAGCGGGCGCCAGGCCAGGCCAAGTGGAGAAGGGGGCGTGATTTGGAAAGGGAGAAACGCGGCTCTCGCAGCCAATTCAAGCCAAGCCAAGGCAATTCTATTTCCCCGGGCTAAATTGTCCCAAGTGTTCCCGAAGGGTCCAACATCTTGCACCGTGCCTGCCGCCGTAATGCAACCCCCGCCCACTCCCCAAGTACGACCACACTAAACTTTCCACTCAGGATCCCCCAATTACTCTCTCTCTCTGTGTGTGTGTCTTTGTGTGTGTGTGTGTAGGAAAGCTGACGCGGTGGGGTTGATATGACCCAGCTGGGCTCCCCTTTTCTCTCAGAAGGGCGCAATGCTCCCCCCCCCCTCCACCCCCCGGTGCGCTCCGGGTCGCGCCGCCTTAAAAATCGGACCCACCTCTGTTCTTCCGGGAGGTAAAAGTCCACGGAGAAGCCAAAAAAGCTGCCCGGGGGGCCGACCAAAACCGTCGGCGCCTTGGAGTCCAGGTTGAAACCCCAAGCGCAGAGCCCGCTGGAAAGGAAGAGCAGAGCCCGACAAAGCATGGCTAGGCCCGGGGGGAAGAGACGGGGGTCCGGATGCACGCAAGGCCACGGGGTCCCAAACCGTCGTCAAGTTAGCCGGGGTCGCCAAGAGCGTTTTGGCTCCGATCTTTTCTCCAAGCCGCTCGGAACGTGAGTGCCGCGGAGACTCCCTGCCTTTCTCGCCTCTTCCCCGCGAGTGACTCACAAAAGGAGGAGTTTCTCGCCCTCCCCCCTCGACGGTACGCGCGCGGGGAGCGGGAGGGGGGGGGCAGGATGGATCTCATTAAACTGCCAGCGCTGGGAATTTTGGAGAAGAGCCAGGAAGAGCTGTGATGAATATTTCGATATGGATGGGAGGGGGAGGAGGGGGAAGAGAGGAGGAGATTGTGTGTGTGTGTGTGTGTGTGTGTGTGTTTGTGGGGAGGGGGTGTTGAAAGCCAAAGCGGCGAATTTTCCCAAAATGTTAACCGCTCTGTCTGAGACTTGCGTTGAACTTCTTGTTCTTCGGGCTGTACGCTGCGGATGATGTCACGTTGGGGTTTTCCTTCCTGCAAGGGAATCGAGCGCGCGGTGCCAAAGGCGAAGGGTTGGTTGTGATTGGTTGCCCCGCGTTACCATATAAAAAAAAAAACACACCGAAATTATGCTCAGCCGAAGAAGGAGGAAAAAAAATAATGTACCCAGTTGGGTGTGGGACTCTCTTCCCTCCTTCCCTCCACCCTACCACAAAGGGGACTATTGAAAAGGATCCAGGGACCAGAAATCCAAATGGGTGGGGTTCATGGGTGAGGTTCTGGAATTGCCCGTACAGGTAGTCCTCGACTTATGACCACAACGGAGCCCAAAATTTCTGTTGCTAAGTGAGAGATTGGTTGTGAGTTTTGTTCCATTTTACGATTTTTCTCGCCACAGTTGTTAAGTGAATCGCTGCGGGTGTTAAGTTAGTATGGCTTTGCTTGTCAGAAGGTTGCAAAAGGGGATTACGTGACACACACACACACACACACACACCCCGACACTGCAACCGTCATAAATATGAGTCAGTTGCAAAGATATTGCATGGCCAACCCTCCAATCATGATGTTCAGATGATTTCAGAAGTAAAAAAAAAAAGCACAATAGATTGAGTTCTTGAAAATGCTTAGGCATAAGCGATCATCACTCTGAATTGCAGACCATGTTGATGGAAGCTTTGTTAATTCATTACGTTTGTATGGTTTCCATTTTCTTAAAAGCTTAAAGCAGCCTGCTGGAGGCCTCTTCTCAAGTTATTGCCATAATAACCCTGTTGTGTGGATTAAGCAGGGAAAGTGACTGGCCCAAGATTATCCGGTGATAATCTGTAGTCAGCCTGGATCTCCCAGATCCAACAAGACCTATAATATTTAGAGCAGAGGTCCCCAACCTTTTGGGCACCAGGGACCAGTTCCGTGAAGAAAAGTTTTTCTGCGGACCGGAGTGTGTGTGGGTGGGTTTGTGTGCTGCCTGCATCCCATGGATGGGGCTTTGCTTGTTTGTGCAGACCGGTTGCTGGCATGCCGTGGCCCAGTACTGGTCCACAGACCAGGGGTTGGGGACCTCTGTATTAGAGGTTACAATTTGTCTTCTTCTGACTCAAATAACAGACTAGCAGAGTTGGAAGGGGCCTTGGAGGTCTTCTAGTCTAATCCCCTGCTCAGCAATTTTTGCTGGTAAGAAATAACACCTACATCCCTGAGATACTGGAGTCTGACAATCCCAAACAAGTGAAAGGGAGAAAACATCTTGCACATTCTCAAGGTCCCCGTAGCTTCCATTCTATGGTTTTGTCCAATTAATAGCAAGCTGATTTGTGAATATGCCTGGCTAGTCCTTCAGTTAACCTTTTGATGGCTGGAGGCTATACTTCACTTCTTTAGGGGTGGATGTGAAAACAAAGACTACAGTGGGTGGGGTAATGATGCAAAATGGCAGGGTGGGGTTGCATAGGAACAAAGCAAGGATTTTCTCTTATTTCCCTGGAGTTGGGGGGGGGGAAAACTTTCTAAAAGCAGAGTTCAGCCAGTTTTAGCATTTGCGCTAATTTTGCACTCCAGTTAGGACCGAAGAGTACGGAAAAGTTACTCAATGAGCTACATGCAGCCCGGTGGCCATGGGTTGCCCGCCTCTGCTTTAACAACTTTGCTTATCCGTTGTAGGAGAACCTCACACCACTATGAAATTTAAGAAGGTTGAACTGGTCACCTGTGTACAACCTCCCCTTCAAATCTCCTTGTTGGGCAGGGAATCTTGAGAAGTTGATGAACTATGACTTCCAACAGCTGTAGACAACAGAGCAATAGTGACACATGGTAGGAGTTGCATTTGATCAACATCTGGAAGGGCACAAGCTGAGCATCTCGGTGTACCGAAAAGGGCAGGTGGGTGATGACAGGGCTCATGGGCTATTACTTACCACGAGGAGCTGGATTTTTATTTCAGCAAAAGGTATCACGAGGAAGAAAAAAAATGGAGACAGAGCAGTGCTTCGTTTATTTAAGAAACCCTATAAAGCTGCTCAACTCACAATGGGAAGCTTATAGAAAAAAAAGAAAGAAAATTAATTAAAAAATAAGAAGGAAAGAGAGAAAAAGAAGGAAGGGAAGGAAAAGGAAAGAAAGAGAAAGAAAGAAAGGAAGAAAAAGAAAGGAAGAAAGGAAGAAAAAAAACAGAAAGGAAGGATCTTACATTTAACATTATACTCTTAGCTACTTACAACAGGATGTGCAACTTGATCTATCAGTCAAGGATGAGGCTTATGGATTTCATTAAGCCTTCCCCCCCCCGCCCCACCCCTGCCATCTAATTCCTTCTCTGTACTTCTGAGATGGTCATAAGACCTCATACATCACCATGGCTGCTGAAGATTAGAGGTTTTTGAGGGGGAGGGTTAGTTTAGGGCCATCCTGGTTTGTGGCAATTGTTTTTTTTAGAAAGCTATGGGTGAGAGTAGTGATTTGGTTATGGGTGGAGCTGTTGTAGGTTGTGAATTTCATAAACCATCCCTTCTTTCTAGATAACACTACTGAGGTTCTGCGCATCTGCTGCTTGTCTCCGCCCACTGAACCGTACTGTCTATTTGGACCTTTTCAAGGACAATGGCATTCTGAGAATTGTATGCCCAACGTATTTGGAAAAGTCAGGATGGAGAAGGCCGTGGCATTATTTACCAACATAAAAAGCAATTCACACAATAGTAGGTGAACCTCTCTCCCGCTCATCCATTCCAATTCGTTAATTAAGTAATGTTTGCTGACAGTACTTTTTCTGTAACGGGGATCATTGTTGCAGATTTCAAAATTTGGCTCCAGCCTGGGTTTTATGCAACTGTGAACATTGCCCATGTGTGTGGCTGCATTTATAATAATGATTAGTTTAAAGGGGGCGGGTGGGTGGGATCATATGGAAAGCAGCAGCACTGGGGAAATCTAGAGAGACCTACTTCATTGCTGCATAAACAAAAGCCTCTCTATTAATTCTGCAGCTGTTAATAGAAAAGAAGGTCAGTTGTGCTAAGTGCTGTCCCAGACCCCATGGTTTAACACTGGTTTTCTTCGTGTGTGTGTGTGTGTGTGTGTGTGTGTGTGTGTGTGTGTGTGTGTGTTTGCCAATTCTGGATAATGTTCCATCCTGACAAAGAATGGGCCACTGGCCCACGATGAAAGTTTATACCGAAATAAATCGTTCATGGTTAAGGTGTCACAAGAATTTAGCCCCACGTTTGCTGCAAAAGATTGAAGACAGCGAGTAGGCTGGGAAAGCTAGAAGGGGCCCCAAGATCCTGTTTGGAAAACTCACACTGTCTTTGAAAATGGGCCGATTGGGAGAAACCAGGCACGGATCAAAAGTTCAGGATGGATGCGAGAGGATTCGGGTGATGAGATGTGCTGATGACCCTACACATCTCCCCCATGTTCTGATGACTTGCAGCGAGAGATGCAGACGTACTTGAAATGGTGAAGAGGAATCAAAAGGAGTGTTTTGTCTGGCTTCTAATGGCTTATTCATACCTGTGGAATTACTCTTCACCGAACGCACCTTCAGCCATCCTGGATCAAATAAACTTGTCTTAGGAGTTTGTGTTGTCCCTTCTGCTTCTGCTTCTGCTGCTCCTCATCCTTAGAGTGGAGATTATCTGAAATGGTTGCTTAAACAGCAGGTGAGCAGTGGGACCAGGCTGTAATAATTCCAGCCCATTATGATGCTCATACCTGCATCATAATGCTCCACCCACTGCCTACAGTGTGGACTTGTGCAGGGAGGGAATTTTGACATGTGCAGCTCTCCATACAGAGGCAGTCATATCATTGGGATACCCTCTAATGCGCATGAGTCAAAGATTTGCAAAGTGACAGGCAGGGAGATCTAAGAACTAGGGGGGAAATGGCTGTTTATTGTTGGTGCTTTGGTGTAGACCTTTTAAATCAGGTTTAAAAGAGTCTTGCGTTCATGTCCATCACGGCTCCTTTGTCTGAGCCTCACTTCCCCCATCTGTAAAATGGGAAGAAGCAGCTAAATCATAGACTCCCCCTGGAGACAGGGAACAATTTGGTGCAGCTCTTTGTTTTATTTTTATTTTTTTTAGGAACCATAGCAACTCTGGGTGGTTTAATTTTTTCCAAACCGTTGTTAGTGTTAGCAGAAGGGAAAAGAGAGTGTTGAGAGCTGTCAGTCCTTAGGTCAAGAACAGCCCTTTCTTGGGATTAAAAAAAAAACCCCAGCTATCCAGTTGCTGTTAATAGCAGGCGGGTGGGATTTGGGGCTCAGCTTCCCCACAGGCAGTCGTGGCTTTGTTTGCTTGCCCACCCTTTCTAATTGGGCCCCTGGGTGGGGTGCTTAGGCTGAAAGCAGACCAAGTTTCTTCTCTGACTCAGCTGAGCTCATGGAAAGGAACGGGTTCAGCCGATGTTGCAAAACATTTGTTTAGCTGTGGAAAACATTGTGTGTTAATAATAAATAGCTGGTGGCCTGTGGAGGTGAGAATTAAATTGGGGACAGACCAGTTCCACTGCTTATGAATTCCTGGGCCCAGAGAAAGCTGTCATGTCC